AGAGAGAGAGAGAGAGAGAGAGAGAGAGAAGGGGAGGGGGAGAGATAAGAGTCTAATCTATTGGCTCTGTGGGTTTGCTAGGGACATGGATTGACGTAAGCTGTATGCCTAGGCCTCACTTTGTTGTAGAGGGACTGGGGTAGGGCCTTATTCCATATCGGTGTTCCATTATTATCAAGTAGGGTGGTTTTAACCAATACTGATAGTGAAGGAGCAGAACTTCAATATTGTTCGAACAGCTGCGCTTTCTTCAATTTTAGAAGCTGTAGTTTAGTTTAAGTAAAGTTTAACGCTCTTATTAAATAAGTCACATAAATGCCAAAGATTAAAAAGTTACTAAGAGAGTAACAAATAATGAAAAGTAGGAGAGTTACGGACAACAGATGTTTAGTAGTAAAGAAGGAGCACGATACACTAGAGCAGTCGCAAATCACCCACTTTTTTTGTTTTGTTCGGATGAATTTATTTTTTTTTAACTTCTGAGCATACAGTTGGAAAAGTGACATGATTCTGTCAAGTCCTTCTGACATTCTAAACTGATCAATATCTGTCATGTACATCTAATGCTTTAATTGAGCAACCAGAACGACTTTGATTGTGATTCTTGTGCGTTTTTTAAACGTATTCTATTTTTGATCAGTTTGGATTGACGGTTAGTCGAACATTGTGAAATCCCCTTCTTTTGCTCTCCAGTTTTTTTTTGTTTTTTTTTAATTTTAATTTTTAACGATCAAAACAAACAGTGTTTCTTCCACTACCCGATTTGGTGCTGAATTTCTATGGGTGGTTGAAATGTCATTGTTGAAAGGAGGAGGGGGGGTCTGGGTGGGGGGTTTGCTCATCACGTCTTGTGTCGTATTTATCACGTCCGTTATTGCATTAAGTGTCCCTCTCGATAGCAGCTAAGTTGTGGAGATGAGGTGGCTCTGACCTCTGGATGGGCAGAATTACAGCTGAGCCAAAATATTTTTGTTTCCTCACTTTGAAACTTGAATGTCCACAGCATAACACCGCAAGAAAATGTAGGTAATCGAATCGCTGATTTTTCGTTTCAGAGACAAAAAGAGTGCAGATTACATTCTATAACCTTGCATATTACAAGCCTTCGGCAGCACGGTCTGTAAATTGTTATTATTGAAAGCATTTATTACAGACTTTACCTCATTAACTGAACAAGTCAAGTACAACATAGCCACTGAAATAACCTTAAAAGGGGAGCTCGAAGGTCGTACGAGATCAAATGAATACCAAAAAATGAACATCAGGCTATAAACAAAGTGAGAACCACATGTATATCAAACCTCACAGAAATCACCGCAAAGGCTTCTAGTATGAACACCCAAGAGTGAATTAGATAGACCAATAAATAACCATCAGTGGCAGTTTAGGCTGTTTTCACTCGAAATGTTGGGAGCTCTTAAAGATTTCCACCAAACGTTTTGGCAGATATCTTCGGGGTCAGGGAAAAGAAAGATTTCTGTGATCCCCGCGAAGCAACTGTGGCGACTGGAGATCACATTATTGGTTCACGAAGCTCTGGCAAACGTTAGGAGAGGAAACTCTTTTCGAAAAAAGGAAAGAAAACAAAGAACCTCAACTGAAGTTATAATCACTCACATGCATTAACGCCCATTTCTCAGTGGGATGGTTTTCCACTTATCTGCGGATGCTTATATATATATATATATATAATGAATATATTATTTCTTCCCTTGTCATTTGGAAGAAGAAGGAAGAGAGAGAGAGAGAGAGAGAGAGAGAGAGAGAGAGAGAGAGAATGGGTGAGGGTGCGTGCAGAGCGTGTACGAGCGTAATTAGATGAATTAGTGCCAGATATAGCCTAGACCTGCACGCGCTAGAGCTTGATACGCCAAGGGAAACGACGTGATGACTAAACGCTTAGTACTTGAGCTGACAAAAATAATTCGTTTGTACCATGGAAAGGAAAGATTAGAGTATTGGAAAAAAAGAAAGCAGGAAGTAGGAGACCTGAGTGTTTGAAGTTCTACACCACCTGAAAGAAAGACACACATGGAAGATGAATTCCTCATTATTGTTCACATTTATTTTTATTCTTAATATCGTATGTCTCATTTTGATTATTTTTCAAGATATGGAACTTCATCTGAGGCGGCTCCAAAAGCAGTCTCCAAAGACAGCAACTTCCGCATTGGAAGCATAAAAATATCAAAACATCTGACAATCAGAATGTTATAAAATAAAAACATTGTTTTCTAAGGTTTTGTACGTCTTCTTGATTTGACAAATGGAAATGGTTATTCTTTCTTTCCCACAACAGACAGACAGACAGACAGACAGACAGACAGACAGA